AGACACAAATTTTCCCTTTATTTTCCACTAAATTTTTTGACGTTTTGCTTTTCACAATCCTTTAGGAATTATTTTTCTGTATTCTCATATATAGATAACCAACTGTCCAATGGCTCTGGGCTAAATAGTGAGTTCATCTTTTCCCTCCTGCTTCTAAACTACCTCAGGTCATACACCACCTTCTAAGAAATGCTGAACCTGTGTCTGGCCTCCCTAGTCTATTAGACCAAACACTGATTCGTTTGTCAGTCTCTAAGTCAGTATCACTCCAATGTTCGAATTATCACAGTAAACCTTTTTTATACCTAATGAGACAATTTCTTCTTCCTCATTTGCTTTCCTCAAATTGTCTTCTCTCTTCTCTTTATTCTCCTAAATGCACTTTTTTTTTTTTTTTTTTTTTTTTTTTTTTAGTCAGTTTTGCTCTTTCCCCCAGGCTGGAGTGCAATGGTGCAATCTCAGCTCACCACAACCTCCGCTCCCCCCCACCCCAGTTTCAAGCAATTCTCCTGCCTCAGCCTCCCAAGTAGCTGGGATTACAGGCATGCACCACCACACCCAGCTAATTTTTGTATTTTTAGTAGAGATGGGGTTTTGCCATGCTGGCCAGGCTGGTCTCAAACGCCTGACCTCAGGTAATCTGCCCACCTCGGCCTCCCAAAGTGCTAGGATTACAGATGTGAGCCCCTGTGCCCGGCCTCTGACATGAATTTTTGGATCAGTTGGCTAAACTCATACTTAAAAGAAACTTGTGTTTAGTGTGAGGTTGCATTAAATTTAGAGATTAATTGGAAGAAGACTGACATTTTTACAACATTAAGGCTTCCATTAACATAATTTACCTCACCACCTTTTAAATAGTCTTTTTTTGTGCTTCACTAACGTTTATTAATTTTTTAAATCAATTTTGGATCTCTTATTAGAATTATTTCTAGATTCCTTAAAATTTTCTATGTCTGTTTTGTTTTTTTAATAAATCTCTGTTAAAACTATATTTTCTTGTACTGGAAAAAGGGTCTCTGGGAAAAAATAAAAATGAATTGCATTTTCTAATTTGGTGTTTCTTAAGTACAAGAACAGTATTGATTTTTGAAATATTTGTTTATAACAAACAAACTTGCTGAAATATCTAGAGATTCCCTTGGGTTTTCTCTGTAGACAATACTGTTTTCTGTGAATTCTTATCTTTTTGTTCTTTTCTTTTCAATTCTGATATGGCAAACTTCTTTCTAGTGCTCTTTTCACAAATAGGACTTTTAAGAGTCTCAAATTAGTCTCCCTGCTTCGTATGGTTCTGTCGTCACATCTGTATCAAGAGGCATAAACACCTTATACCCAGCCCTTAAGAACTAGCTAATGTCTGAATGGAGACCCCAAGGGGCCTCCACAGCATCCTCTATGGCTCATGTTTCTTGTTCTGAGTTTTATTCTTGTTTCTCATACTAAGGTATTCCTATTTCTTTCTCCTAGGTATGGTTATGTGTTTGGGTTTTTTTGCTTTTACTTTGATATTTTTCTGTAATTTCAATGTATTTTAACAGGAATGGGAACTGTCAACATCAGCTTAGTCTGCCGTGATGCCAAGAGCTCCACCTCTGAACTCACATATCCAGACCATGTAAGCTAACCATGCTTTCTGGCTCTCCAGATTTACTGATTGATTTGAAACCTGAGGTATTATGATTCTGTTTGAATAAGGGGGAGGGCATCTCAAGAGAGAAAATCAAACTTCTTCAGGTGCAGAGATGAGAAAGTACATCACAATTATGAAACGGCCTCCTTGCTGGGGTAATACCTGAGGTTCGTTGCCTCACAGCCAAGGAAATCAAGGACGTGGATACACACAGAGTGAGGTTAAGAGCGGAAGTTTAGGCCAGGCGCGGTAGCTCAGGCCTGTAATCCCAGCACTTTGGGAGGCCGAGACAGGCGGATCACGAGGTCAGGAGATCGAGACCATCCTGGCTAACACAGTGAAACCCTGTCTCTACTAAAAAATACAAAAAACTAGCCGGGTGAGGTGGCGGGCGCCTGTAGTCCCAGCTACTCGGGAGGCTGAGGCAGGAGAATGGCGTAAACCCGGGAGGCGGAGCTTGCAATGAGCTGAGATCCGGCCACTGCACTCCAGCCTGGGCGACAGAGCGAGACTCCATCTCAAAAAAAAAAAAAAAAAGGGGAAGTTTAATAGGTGAAAGAGGACAGCTCTCTGCTGGAGAGAGGGGTCCTGGAGAAATGGGCTGCCGGATCTGCAGTGAAATGCAGGCGGGGGTTTAGATGCCTGGTGAGGAGGCAGAGTCTGATTTACATGGAGCAGGAAAGATTGGCTCGACCAGGTGTGCCATTTGCATAAGGTGTGAAAAACTGGTTAGGACTAGATGTGCCATTTGCATACGGCACAAATTTCTGGTAGCCCCCACCCTAATCTTTAATTTTGCAGGTAGGTTCTCTGTCTGGCCTGCACCATGTTGCCCATTCCCTTGTTGTACATGTGACAACAAATAAAGGAAGATGGAGCCTCCATGTTGCATATATCTGGCCCCCAGGTAGCCCTTTCCTATTGGCACAGCTGCTAGCCTTCCCCTGTGTAGGCTTCCAGCTTGCTTTTCTTTGTCTGTAGCTCGATTTCTCAGGCTGCTCTTTGTTAGAAAAAAATAATTTATTGGGCTGCTTTTTGTTGAAAGGGAAGCTCTGCCAAAGACTCTTTTACCTTCACTATCTGCCTAAATAATTTCTTTCTACCTCCTGTATCAATTAGAAATGACAATGATGATTAGGCCTCCATCCCTCATACCTAGCATATTATTCAAACATGTACTACAACAAGAGATGCTGAGAAGCGAAGATTGAATTAATTATAGATTTAATACATTTTTGAGTCAAGGTCTCTTTAGAAAAATTAGTAGATGCCATATGATATCCTGGACAACTATCACAAGTTGATCACAAAATGTAAAATGGCTTAAACAAAGCAAAGGTTTATTTCTGTCCTACATAACGGTTACAATAAATGTTTTTGTTTGGGAGAGATTCTCCCGAATAGAGAGTACCAGGGATACAGGTTCATTCCACCATGTGTCTCCATCATCCCATTCAGCCTCCTCTCTATTTGCATCCAATGGGCACAAGGGTAAGAAGGTGTGGAGGAGCCCAGAACTGGGACACATGTGTGGAATGGCTAGAACTCAGTCACAGGAGCACACCTCATGTGTGCAAGGGAGTCTGGGAAATGTAGTCTAATTGCATGTCCAGGAAGAAGAGAACAACAGGGATTTGACTAAGCAGCTGATTGTTGCCGCTGTAATTTAAGTCTTAGGGTACAAGATGGATCAAAGAGGAGGAAACCTGGAGTCAAGCAGTTGAGTTAGCGTTGCAATACTTCAGATAGAAAACAATGATGGAGCTGAAGCACTGGGACATTTAGTAGAAAGGCTGAGTTATGTAATAATTATTTTAAATGAAGAATCAACAAGAGTAAATGTAGTGGTGAGAGATAACTGAGTCATTAAGCTTGTGAGCATCCCACATATGGGGAGTGCAAGAAATACACCTGGATTTGACTCAAAAAATATTAAGAGAAAACTTAGTGATACATACAATAGAAAATATTCAGCCGGGCACGGTGGCTCACGCTTGTAATTCCAGCACTTTGGGAGGCGGAGGCAGGCAGATCACCTGAGGTCAGGAGTTCAAGACCAGCCTGGCCAATGTGATGAAACCCCATCTCTACTAAAAATACAAAAAAAAAAAAAAAACATAGCCAGGCATAGTGGCACATGCCTGTAATCCCAGCCACTCAGGAGGCTGAAGCAGGAGAATCACTTGAACCTGGGGGGGCGGAGGTTGTAGTGAGCCAAGATCACACCACTGCACTCTAGCCTGGGCAACAGAGTGAGACTCCATCTCAAAAAAAAAAAAAAAAAGAAAAGAAAATATTCCATAATAATCTATCTGAAGGAGGTAAAAATCAACAAGATACGGTTTTCCTTCCCCTAAAATCTTGCCCTCATCTTAGCTTGGATGTATGGTGTGTGCAGTTTGGTCACGTTGTCAGGATGAGTGAAGTGGAAATACAGAGGGAAAAGTTCACACCTATAGATGTAGACCTGACAGTTTACTATGCGGTGGTTGAAGCAACTAAGGAGTTGCTTGAGTCACCCAAAGAAATAACGAAGAACAGGAAGAGAAGACTGAGAAGAAAGGCATTGTGATTGTATATATTTGAGGGCTTGCCAAAGAGGAAAAAAAACAAAAAAACTGTTTTTCCCTTTCTTTCTTTTAAAGGAAATGGTGAAAAATTACTTTGAAAATGAGAAACCTGGGGAGAAAATTCTCCAGACTGTTTTAGTAGGATCTAAATGCAGTAGTCCCTGTGATTTACCATCTTCCAATGCAGTGTAGATACCTGCTACCTCCTGGGTTCTGGGATCCCTCTGAGCTATTTCAATGGAAAAATTCCTAATTTCTGGGCTGGCCTTTCCACCAGCAAACCCTTTGCACTGGAGTATTTTGTCAAAGACTTCAAAATGCTGTCTTTTCCTTATCATGTGTAATAAAATTAGTGTGTGATTTTGGCTTCTCCATTAGGTTGTAAGGTCCATTGAGAACATAGACGATGTCTTGAATAAACAGATGAATAAACTTATGTGTCACATATTTATGACTTCTCCATGAGGTCTAACAAAGTGACTAGACCATGGGACATGACAATTATTTGTTGTATGATTAATTTCTAGGCGTTTAGTGGTGATGCTTGGAACAGGAAGGATGGGCACTTCTGATTCAGAGATTGCTCACTTTTTAGACATGACTGCCAAGGGGTGAATGACTATTAGTTCTATTGACCAACAGGGATGTTTCCCCAAAATATTGGATATCTCTATAATTTAATAAACTCAGATGTATAGACAGCTGCATCACTTAAGTTAGAAGTGATGGAGAAGGATTATCACTACACACAGTAACTATGCTAATATAATAATATTCCTCTCCCCTTTCATGTTGAAGAAGCCATGAGGGAAAATAACCAGTCCTCTACACTTGAATTCATCCTCCTGGGAGTTACTGGTCAGCAGGAACAGGAAGATTTCTTCTATATCCTCTTCCTGTTCATTTACCCCATCACATTGATTGGAAACCTGCTCATCATCCTAGCCATTCGCTCCGATGTTTGCCTTCACAACCCCATGTATTTTTTCCTTTCCAACCTCTCCTTGGTTGACATCTTCTTCTCATCTGTAACCATCCCTAAGATGCTGGCCAACCACCTCTTGGGCAGCAAATCCATCTCTTTTGAGGGGTGCCTAACGCAGATGTATTTCATGATAGCCTTGGGTAACACAGACAGCTATATTTTGGCTGCAATGGCATATGATCGAGCTGTGGCCATCAGCCGCCCACTTCACTACACAGCGATTATGAGTCCCCGGTCTTGTGTCCTGCTAGTTGTTGGGTCTTGGGTGATTGGGAATGCCAATGGCCTCCCCCACACTCTGCTCACAGCTAGTCTGTCCTTCTGTGGCAACCAGGAAGTGGCCAACTTCTACTGTGACATTACCCCCTTGCTGAAGTTGTCCTGTTCTGACATCCACTTTAATGTGAAGATGATGTATGTAGGGGTCGGTGTTTTCTCTGTGCCATTGCTATGCATCATTGTCTCCTATGTTCGAGTCTTCTCCACAGTCTTCCAGGTTCCTTCCACCAAGGGCGTGCTCAAGGCCTTTTCCACCTGTGGTTCTCACCTCACGGTTGTCTCTTTGTATTATGGTACAGTCATGGGCATGTACTTCCGCCCTTTGACCAATTATAGCCTAAAAGATGCAGTGATCACTGTAATGTACATGGCAGTGACCCCAATGTTAAATCCTTTCATCTACAGTCTGAGAAATCGGGACATGAAGGCGGCCCTGCGGAAACTCTTCAACAAGAGAATCTCCTCGCAACCAATGTGAGAGCCTACACTGGATAGTGTAGTCATCAATAAGGGTATATTGGAAATCCAGTTCTGACGTCATCCTCCTACAAGAGGTCGTCTCTGATCTTTCCAGCCTGAAATTCCTTTTCTCAGAACTCTTATAACATTTTAATGAGTTAATAATAAGTGATTATTGAAATTACCACTTTCAACTCATTGCTGCTCTTTTTGGCAGAGCGGCAGCACAGGGATACCGGGCATATGTCCTGATGAGTGGAGTCAAGTTGGGAAGATCTGAGCCTCAGCTTTCACATCTACATGTCAGGAATAATAAGTGCCCTACATGGGTCACATGGTGTGTTGATTACAGTAACTCATGCTTTCAAGCTTATAAATCACTATTCGTGTGTCCATTTTTATTTGACTATTAAGTTTAATCCCCTTATTAGGCTTGCAAGTCTCTGAGGGCAGGAGTTGTCTTTACACATCACTGTACCTTCGCAATCTTGGTCAGATAAAGTGCATCCAATGAATACTGGTGGAAGCGGAATGAATAAGATATTAATCTCTGAAATGTAATATTATAATTAGAGATAATCGAACCAGACATTTTTTTCTCATCTTTAAAACCTTTCAAGAAAACTCCCATTCACAATTGCTACAAAGAGAATAAAATACCTAGGAATACAGCTTACAAGGGATGTGAAGTAACTCTTCAAGGAAAACTAAAAACCACTGCTCAAGGAAATAAGAGATGACACAAATGGAAAAACATTCCATCCTCATTTATATGAAGAATCAATATCATGAAAATGGCCATTCTGCCCAAAGTAATTTATAGACTCAATGCTATTCCCATCAAACTACCATTGACATTCTTCACAGAATTAGAAAACACTTCTCTTCTCAGCACCACATCTCACTTATTCCAAAATTGACCACACAGTTGGAAGTAAAGCACTCCTCAGCAAATGTAAAAGAACAGAAATAATAACAAACTGTCTCTCAGACCACAGTGCCATCAAACTAGAACTCAGGACTAAGAAATTCAATCAAAACTACTCAACTACATGGAAACTGAACAACCTGCTCCTGAATGACTACTTGGTACATAACGAAATGAAGGCACAAATAAAGATGTTCTTTAAAACCAATGAGAACAAAGACACAACATACCAGAATCTCTGGGACACATTTAAAGCGGTGTGTAGAGGGAAATTTATAGCACTAAATGCCCACAAGAGAAAGCAGGAAAGATCTAAAATTGACACCCTAACATCACAATTAAAAGAACTAGAGAAGCAAGAGCAAACACATTCAAAAGTTAGCAGAAGGCAAGAAATAACTAAGATCAGAGCAGAACTGAAGGAGACAGATACACAAAAAAACCCTCCAAAAAAATCAATGAATCCAGGAGCTGGTTTTTTGAAAAGATCAACAAAATTGATAGGCCACTAGCAAGACTAATAAAGAAGAAAAGAGAGAAGAATCAAATAGACACAATAAAAAATGATAAAGGGGATATCACCACTGACCCCACAGAAATACAAACTACCATCAGAGAATACTATAAACACCTCTACGCAAATAAACTAGAAAACCTAGAAGAAATGGATAATTTCCTGGACACTTACACTCTCTCAAGTCTAAACTAGGAAGAAGTAGAATCCCTGAACAGACCAATAGCAGGCTCTGAAATTGAGGCAATAATTAATAGCCTACCAACCAAAAAGAGTCCAGGACCAGATGGATTCACAGCCGAATTCTACCAGAGGTACAAGGAGTTGGTACCATTCCTTCTGAAACTATTCCAATCAATAGAAAAAGAGGGAATCCTCCCTAACTCATTTTACAAGGCCAACATCATCCTGATACCAAAGCCTGGCAGAGATACAACAAAAACAGAGAATTTTAGACCAATATCCTTGATGAACATCGATGCAAAAATCCTCAATAAAATACTGGCAAACCGAATCCAGCAGCACATCAAAAAGCTTATCCACCATGATCAAGTGGGCTTCATCTCTGGGATGCAAGGCTGGCTCAACTTACACAAATCAATGAATGTAATCCAGCATATAAAAAGAACCAAAGACAAAAATCACATGATTATCTCAATAGCTGCAGAAAAGGCCTTTGACAAAATTCAACAGCCCTTCATGCTAAAAACTCTTAATAAATTCGGTATTGATGGAATGTATCTCAAAATAATAAGAGCTATTTATGACAAACCCACAGCCAATATCATCCTGAATGGGCAAAAACTGGAAGCATTCCCTTTGAAAACTGGCACAAGACAGGGATGCCCTCTCTCACCACTCCTATTCAACATAGTGTTGGAAGTTCTGGCTAGAGCAATCAGGCAAGAGAAAGAAATAAAGGTATTCAGTTAGGAAAAGAAGAAGTCAAATTGTCCCTGTTGCATTTGACATGATTGTATATTTAGAAAACCCCATTGTCTCAGCCCAAAATCTCCTTAAGCTGATAAGCAACTTCAGCAAAGTCTCAGGATACAAAATCAATGTGCAAAAATCACAAGCATTCTAATACACCAGTAACAGACAAACAGAGAGCCAAATCATGAATGAACTCCCATTCACAATAGCTTCAAAGAGAATGAAATACCTAGGTATCCAACTTATAAGGGATGTAAAGGACCTCTTCAAGGAGAACTACAAACCACTGCTCAGTGAAATAAAAGAGGACACAAACAAACGGAAGAACATACCATGCTCATGGATAGGAAGAATCAATGTTCTGAAAATGGCCATACTGCCCAAGGTAATTTCTAGATTCAATGCCATCCCCATTAAGCTATCAATGACTTTCTTCACAGAATTGGAAAAAACTGCTTTAAAGTTCATATGGAACCAAAAAAGACCCCGCATTGCCAAGACAATCCTAAGCCAAAAAAACAAAGCTGGAGGCATCACACTACCTGACTTCAAACTATACTACAAGGCTACAGTAACCAAAACAGCATGGTACTGGTACCAAAACAGATATCGACCAATGGAACAGAACATTGGTCTCTCAGAAATAATACCACAAATCTACAGCTCAGAAATAATACCACAAATCTACAGCCATCTGATCTTTGACAAACCTGATATAAACAAGAAATGGGGAAAGGATTCCCTATTTAATAAATGGTGCTAGGAAAATTGGCTAGCCATAAGAAGGCTGAAACTGGATCCTTTCCTTACTCCTTATACGAAAATTAATTCAAGATGGATTACAGACTTAAATGTTAGAACTAAAACCATAAAAACCCTGGAAGAAAACCTAGGTAATACCATTCAGGACATAGGCATGGGCAAGGACTTCATGTCTAAAACACCAAAAGCAATGGCAACAAAAGCCAAAATTGACAAATGGGATCTAATTAAACTAAAGAGCTTCTGCATAGCAAAATAAACTACCATCAGAGTGAACAGGCAACCTACAGAATGGCAGAAAATTTTTGCAATCTACTCATCTGACAAAGGGCTAATGTCTAGAACCTATAAAGAACCCAATCAAATTTACAAGAAAAAACCAAACAACCCCATTAAAAAGTAGGCAAAGGATATGAACAGACACTTCTCAAAAGAAGACATTCATACAACCAACAGACACATGAAAAGATGCTCATCATCACTCACCATCAGAGAAATGCAATTCAAAACCATAATGAGATACCATCTCATACCAGTTAGAATGGCAATCATTAAAAAGTCAGGAAACAATAGGTGCTGGAGAGGATGTGGAGAAATAGGAACACTTTTACACTGTTGGTGGGACTGTAAACTAGTTCAACCATTGTGGAAAACAGTGTGGTGATTCCTCAAGGATCTAGAACTAGAAATACCATTTGACCCAGCCATCCCATTACTGGGGATATATCTAAAGGATTATAAGTCATGCTGCTATAAAGACACATGCACACATATGTTTATTGCGGCACTGTTCATAATAGCAAAGACTTGGAATCAACCCAAATGTCCATCAGTGACAGACTGGATTAAGAAAATGTGGCACACATACACCATGGAATACTATGCCGCCATAAAAAAGGATGAGTTCATGTCCTTTGTAGGGACATGGATGCAGCTGGAAACCATCATTCTCAGCAAACTATTGCAAGAACAGAAAACCAAATACTGCATGTTCTCACTCATAGGTGGGAACTGAACAATGAGATCACTTGGACATAGGAAGGGGAACATCACACACTGGGTCCTACTGTGGGGAGATGGGGGGGAGGGATAGCATTAGGAGATATACCTAATGTAAATGATGAGTTAATGGGTGCAGCACACCAACGTGGCACATGTATACATATGTAACAAACCTGCACGTTGTGCACATGTGCCCTAGAACTTAAAATATAATAATAATAAAAAAGAAAAAAAGAAAAAAAAAAGAACAAAGAGTTTGAGAACCGATGGGTTATAAGGAATACAAGAATAGCTGGAAGGAAAAAAAAACCACACACACACACACAAAAACAAAGAATTTGGGTGAGAGAAGATGAGAGTATGAATTCCTAAATTGGCAGTTTAATGTGATAAGTTAAATTTACTATCTCAGAGAAAAAAAGCTTTTCTTATTTGGGGGAAAAGGATGGAATCTTGGATGAGGGCTTTCTAACTTAACAGACTGTATGAAAGCTAATGCCTTTAGTTATATGTGAGATTAGGTCTAAACAATTTCATAACATTATGAATGACGCTGGTGAATTAAGAGTAATCACAGCAAGAACAATAAACAGAGATGGTTTTCTGAAGGGCAAATAAAATTATTTAGGAAAAGACTTTTGATGACCTATATGCTAATAAAGTTAACTGAAAGGTACTTCCTAAGGGACTATATGGTTGAATAAGTCTCATTCCATTTTTGAAAGACCAGTGCAAATGGTAAGCTAACATGAGTAACTCTTTTTAATGCAAGTTCCTGAATTATTACTCAGATTAGTGCCCATTAATGTACATTTTAATACATAATAGTAAGTGATACCCCATAACAATAATTCTGAACCATCAAGAAGAGGACAAATTTTGCTCAGCATTTAAGAAGTCAGCCAAGTACATGGATATTTTAGAAATACAGCATAGCAAAAGTATCAAAGTAGAAGATCTGGCACGTAAGGCTTTACCTCCAGCTATCTGACTACCATTCCAAAAAGATTAACTTGTTACAGGTTCTACAGTGAAAATGTTCCAATTTAATTCTAAGAGGGTCTTTGCTCCTGGGGAAAGTGATATTAGGAAGAGCCACAGACACAGTGCTAAGGAATGGAAGGTAAAAACGTGGTAGAAGAATTTTATCTCCCTGACAAAGACAAGTTTTTTCTTCAGCTCAGTTATTCCTTGTGGTCATCAGGACATAAATGCTTTTGGGGTTAGGTAGGGGAATATATTCCTTTGAAAGGCTATCTTGTTAAATTTGAAATTAATGTCATGCATTTGTTAAGTCTTTTAATTACCACTTGTTTATTAAAAAGAACTTCCTAAAGGAAAAAAAAAAAAAAAAAAAAAAAGAGTTCCCACAGGACGGTCTTTAGCGCTGCACTACGTGGCTTATGGGGACCGTGAAAGCTGAGGGTCTGTTCATTTTGTGGTGGGTCACTTCACTGACTAATCACAAACATCTTTTTTGTTCTAATGATGTTTCCACTGATTTTCTTAGATTTCCCAGAGAGATCATTATATCAGTAAGTAATAATAATTCTTCTTTCTTCTTTCCAATATTTTATTTCTCCACTTCCTCCAATTGGACAATAATCATTTCTTGTGACGCGTATACCTATATTAAATACCACTTAAAACCCTATATAAAATCGTAACACTAAACTTTAAACACTTCAAGGCTACTGGAAGATGGCAGGATTAAAAATAAGGCTTAGACATTGTTTTTATAATATTCAGCATGTAAGGGTAGAAGTTGCTGGAATAATTAAGTTGCATACTTTCCATATTCTGTTTTGGTGCCTATAATGACCTGTTGCTTTTATTATTTTTAAAATTTAGTCCAAGATATTTTAATGCTAAGAAAAGAGTTGATTTTGCTTATCTTCATGTCCTTATTCAAATGAGGGCAATTAATAAACATTTGTAGGTGTTAATGTTGCAGAAGGTTGGGGGAAGTGGATGGAGATAACCAGAGTGAGAACTCACAGTTCCTTCTCCTGGGGATGTCAGAGAGTCCTGAGCAGCAGCAGATCCTGTTTTGGATGTTCCTGTCCATGTACCTGGTCACGGTGGTGGGAAATGTGCTCATCATCCTGGCCATCAGCTCTGATTCTCGCCTGCACACCCCCATGTACTTCTTCCTGGCCAAATTCTCCTTCACTGACCTCTTCTTTGTCACCAACAGTCCCCAAGATGCTGGTGAACCTCCAGTCCCAGAACAAAGCCATCTCCTATGCAGGGTGTCTGACACAGCTCTACTTCCTGGTCTCCTTGGTGACCCTGGACAACCTCATCCTGGCCATGGCATATGACCGCTATGTGGCCATCTGCCACCCCCTCCACTATGTCACAGCCATGAGTCCTGGACTCTGTGTCTTGCTCCTCTGCTTGTGTTGGGGGCTGTCTGTTCTCTATGGCCTCCTCCTCACCCTCCTCATGACCACGGTGACCTTCTGTGGGTCCCGAAAGATCCACTACCTCTTCTGTGAGATGTACGTCCTGCTGCGGCTGGCATGTTCCAACACCCACATCATTCACACAGTGCTGGTTGCTACTGGCTGCTTTCTTCCTCACCCCCTTAGGGTTCATGACCACATCCTATGTACGTATTGTCAGAACCATCCTTCAGATACCCTCAGTCTCTAAGAAATACAAAACCTTCTCTACCTGTGCCTCACATTTGGGTGTGGTCTCCCTCTTTTATGGAACACTTGTTATGGTATATCTGCAGCCCCTCCACACCTACTCCATGAAGGACTCAGTAGCCACAGTGATGTATGCTGTGGTGACACCTATGATGAACCCTTTCATCTACAGCCTGAGGAACAAAGACATGCATGGGGCTCTGGGAAGACTCCTAGGGAGACCCTTTCAGAGGCTTAAATGAAGGTAATTTTGGAAAGGGGATCGAAGTGGAGACCGGAAATCTCCTTCACCCACGTAAGGCATTATGCTGTGGGATATGCAACAGTCATCAGGGTACAGCTGCAGCTCAGAATGAGCATATCTGCCTGTGATGAAGAAAAGACATAATGTGTATCCCAGTGCCTCCAAGACCTCACCAGCCTTGGCAATAAATAATGTCATGCTAACACTACTACCAGGATTTTACAGAGTCAAATATTTAAACCCGCTTGATTATAGGCCCACAGTTCTAGGCTTATCTATATATACCCAGTTATAGCCTTGGGCAGTCTCTCATGTTCTCTAGCACCCATTCACTTATGACCCAGAGGTCTGGCTTCTCTAAGGAGCCTGCTACCCTCAAGCTCTTTGGAGAAGACACTTTGTACTACCCCTACCACAGATGCCCTGGGTGGGGCTTCCCCTTTCTTGATGCTCTAACAGGTACAACATGAGCCACTTCAATGTTGACATAGAGTCACTCTGGACACACCCCATATGGTTCATGCGGAAATGCCAACAAAATTCCTCTTGTGCTCCGGGTTGATTTTATCTTTTGGGCCTCAAGCAATACTCTCTTGCCTTTTCCCTGCATTCCTTTTCTCTGTAGGAAGTCAGACCTTGCCCTTGGAAAGACCATCCTAGCTTTTATTTCTGTAGTTCCTCACCTTCCTTCTCTCCTTCATGCAAGAATTCCATCCACCCCTCAAAACAAAACTCTCAAACATCAGCGCATATTCATAAATAGCAGTCGTAGAAGGGCCAGTACAAGGGGAGGATTCTGGAACAAATGAACAATTTAGTTATCCCGGAGAACATAGAGAAACGGAGGTATTTTAATAAATAAATTGGGAATAGCACTCAATAAAATATAAAACAAAAATATAATAAAGAGAATTTTAAAAGCCAAAGATTGGTTCTTTCTTTAAAAAAATGAAGTGAATAAACCTCTGGGATATTGATTAAGGAAAGAAAAGACACAAGTAAACACTACAGTGGGAAGAATGGGGGTAAAAACTAAAGATAACATCAAGATTAGGATGATGAAGAGACAATATCAACATCTATATGCCAACAATTTTGAACATTTTGACAAAATAAATATATCCTTGGAAAAAATGTGACTTGTCAAAGCTGACTCAAGAAGAAATGGAAAAATTAAATAGTCCTATAACTAGAATTTAAGCAATCATTTTAAATATTCATATATATGAATATGTACATATATCACAAATACAAATCCATTGATAAGCAAATTTTAGCAAGTTATGGATCATCCAGTTTAAAAACAAAAAATCTCTGCAAAGAATAGAAAAAGAAATGAAACTTCCCAAATAGTTTTATGTCATAATTATCACCTGATATCAAAGCAGAAAAAGAGTACAAGAAAGAAAAGTGCAGGAGCTAATTTCACTTAATATATACAGGTATCCCAAAGAAAATCCTAGTAAATTGAATCCAACAGAAAATTTAAAACTAATAATACTGCATAAGGACCCACTAGGATATATTAAAGGTATGTAAAGATAATTTGATACTTTTAAATCCATGTTATTTATTATATTGACAAATTAAAAGAAAAAATCAACATGTCAATAGATGCAGAGAAAGATAAAATTCTAAACAAATGTTGTCCTTGATAAAGCAGTAAAATTATTTTATTAAATCATACCTTTTAGTGTATGTTCTTTTAATATTTTGTATAACAAAATGGCAAGTCCACATAGAGCATTTCTGCATCTCAAAGTACAATGGTTGTCTTGTGAGGAAGTATCTGAGTGATTGATTGAATTTGGGCTCAACCAGCCACTTCATGGAACATTATTTGTATTTGTTAGAATAACTGATAAACTATAGTTATTCAGAACTGGTACTTGCCAAATGTTGTCACAGATACATGAAGTGAGCCTGTTATTGCAAGAAAAACTGACAGTATTTGTTGCTAGTAATAAATATTTGCTCTATCAAGCAAATATCACCCCTTTGGAAAATTCATCCCTCATGGTGATGGATATATATTTCATATACATATTAAATGTGTCAACATTTGGAAGATCTACATAACTCAGTGAGTCAATATTTTTCAAATGACTAATGCATTATGTGAAAAAGTTACACGTGGATAAAAGATCAACTTTAAAAAGTTACATGTGAATTAAAAGACCAATTCAAAAGAAGCCAATGAATTTTAATGACCTAGGGGATAAAATGTCTATTGATATGTTATCAGATTCTGCATTGCTAGCAACCTTTAAGAAACTACTACTTATCACATTTTGATGTAGTATCAAATAATATTAATTGAAAAGGTTATTAACATAATCCTCCCTTTTGCAATTACATATCTGTATAAGGTTGGATTTTCTTCATACATGTCAACCAAAATAACATATCACTACAAATAAATGCAAAAGCTGATACAAGAATCTAGCTCTCTTCTATTAAGCCAGACATTAGAAAGATTTGAAAAAATGTAAAACCATGCTATTCTTCAATAAATTGTTTTAAATATATATACTGATTTCTATTTAAAATCCTACTATAAAAACATATAATGGTAGTATTGTTTTATGAATTAGTAAATATTTTAAATGTCTAATATGAGAGTATCAATAGATACAATCCACATAAACACAGCTCACAGTTCTTTTGGTCCCGAAAATTTTAAGCAGGTAAATGCGTCCTGAAACCAAAAGTTTGAGAACTATTCTCCTAAAGTACAAACATACTTGAAAATTGTTCTCAAATTCAGCAAATCAGTTCCTTTGAAAAAGAGGACAAAATGAGGGAAAGGAATGGGGATAATGCTTTAGTGTTATCTATAACATTTTAAATATTTTTACAGAAAGAAGTGACATGATCAGGTAACAAATTAATATTTTTAATTTTGTGGATGGTATATATGTGTCTAAAATTATGTTCTTGTTGCATGTTTGAAATTATTCATAATTACTTTAGTTTTTAAAGGATCTGGAGGTGTGGTTTGCCATTGGATTTGAAATTGGATGAATGATTAGACGTGGAAAACACATTTGTCTTAGTCAATTAGGGCTGCTATAACAAAATACCATACACTGGGTGGCTCAAACAACAGATTTATTTTCTCACAGTTGTGGAAGCTAGGAGTCACTATCAGGATGCTATCATGGTTGGGTTTTGGTAAGACTTCTTCCTAGCTTGTAGACAGCCACCATCTGGCTGTGTGCTCACATGACCTCTTCTTTGTGTATGCAAGGAGAGAAAGGAAAAGCACTGGTCTCCTCCTCTTCTTATAAGAGCACTAATCCCACTATGGGGCTCACCATCATGAGCTCCTCTAAACCCAGTAACCTCCCAAAGGTACTATCACATGGGGGATTAGAGCTTCAACATATGGATTTGGCAGGGACACAAACATTCAGTCCATAACAATACTTCCTTCTCCTCCAAACACATAGAATATCTGAATCATAGAGTCTTTATTTAAACAACAGTCAACAAGAGAGTGACATAAGCAGGATGGCAGAATAGGAGTTCTCCACTTCACTCCCCCACACAGAAATCCAACTAGAAGCACCCACAATCAGGAATACCATCCTAACACAAGCACACAGGGAGGGGAACGACACACACTGGGGTCTGTTGCGGGGGGTGCGGGCAGTGGAGGGAGAGAATTGGGAGAAATAGCTAATGCATGCAGGGCTTAGTACCTCCGTGATGGGTTGACAGGTACAGCAAAACACATGGCACATGTTTACCTACGTAACAAACCTGCACATCCTGCACATGTATCCTGGAACTTAAAATTTTTAGAAAAACATCTTGAATATTCCAGGAATTGGGATTGAGGCTGAGACACCACCCTGGGCCACACAATTGAGAAAAGCCATGACCAAAGACTAACAGAAATGGTTCTCTGACCATTTTACCCTCCCCAAAGTCAGCACCGCACCACACGCAGAGAATGTCCCTAGACGCACAGTTTCTACAATAACAAAAGTGAATTGGAGGCCAATACTCAGTTTTCCCACCATTCTGGGATCCTTTGTAGGAGGAGACAAGCTCACTCTTGTCTCATCCTCAGGGAAACAGAGTGCCAGCAGAGTTAGACCACCTGGGGTCAGTTAGAAACAAAGAATGAAGGTAGGACTTACAGTAGCCAGCACCGGGATCTTGGGAATTGCTCAGTATTCTGGTCAATAGAGATGCCATACCAGAAAAAACTAGTCAACATCATGCTGCAGGAAACACTGTCCAATCACCTTTCAGGCTCGAATCCTGAGCCACCTTCTCCACACAAGCCAGTTGCTTTCATTAGTCTTCCCCAGGTTGAGAGGCAACTGCATGTCAGCAAGTACCTGTAAAATGACCATCTGGACTTTCCCAACCTTAATTCCTGGGATTCAAGCCTGGTTCAACATACAAAAAGCGATCAATGTGATTTATCACATAAACAGAATTAAAAGCAAAAACCACATGATCATCTCAATAGAAACAGAAAAAGGTTTTGGTAAAGTCCAGCATCCCTTCATGATAAAACTCCACGACAGAGTAGGCATCCAAGGAACATACCTCCAAACAGTAAGAGCCATCTATGACAAACCCACAGCCAACATCATACTGAATGGGCAAAAGCTGGAGCCATTCCCCTTGAGAACTGGAACTAAACAAGGAGGCCCACGCTCATCACTCCTATTCCACATAGTACTGGAAGGGCCTAGCCAGAGCGATCAGGCAAGAGAAATAAAAGGCCTCCAAATAGGAAAAAATAAGTCAAACTATTGAAAAGTGGGACCTGATTAACTAAAGAGCATCTGCACAGCAAAAGAAACTATCAAGAGAGTAAACAGACGACCTGCAGAACGGGAGAAAATATTTACAAACTATGTATCTGACAAATGTCTAATATCCAGTATGTGTAAGGAACTTAATAACCAAAAAATAACCCCATTAAAAAATGGGGAAAGGAAATGACACTTCTCAAGGGAAGGCATACAACTGGCCAACAAACATATGAAAAAATGCTAAACATCACCCATCAGAGAAATGCAAATCAAAACCACCGTTTTGTGAGATACCATCTCACACCAGTCAACATGGCTATTAATAAAAAGTCCAAAAAAAGCGGATGCTGGCAAGGCTGTGGAGAAAAGGGAGGGAAGGCTTATATGCTGATGGTGGGAATGTAAATTAGTTCAGCAACTGTGAAGAGCAGTTTGGAGATT